AGTTCGTGGAAAAGTTTCAATTTTAGGGGGCCTCTTGAATAGGTCAAAGGCCACCATAGTTTCTTCAGAAACTTACCACCTTCAGTTCAATGATCAACTTTTTCGGTTCTGTAGTACTTTTCTTAGTGTCTCAAACACAGTCGACGGTGTCGATAAGATGGAAGAATGAGCAAAAACACTGGCAATGTTCGTGAGAAACCTTATGGCCGACAAAAGAAAAAAAGGAAGAGACTTGCGGTGTCACGTGCGATTTCTCTGTCACGCGATAGTCAATTTTAGTAATGGTTCTAGGTTATGCGGAACATGTGTCATATATAAGCCTCTGTGGCCAGGTGGTGGACCATCGGAAAGGAGCAGAAGAGCTATTCCAAAATTTAATCTTTTTCCACGCTCGTTACATGGCGAAAAAAAAAGCTTTCTTCAGTGGTGGTTCTTTCACTTCACAGCACGTCACACTACGTCACACTAATATGTAATATCTAGGGGATTATTAGTTGATCGAAACCAAATTCTCCAAACTTACATTTTAAGAATTGTGTGACAGACAGTAAGGAGAATTATTAATGAGATTTGTGAGTGAAATGGTTTGGATGAGCTCCAGAAACCTTTTTGGATGAAAAAACCATTCTTTGATTTGGTGTAATTTTAAAAGTTTAGGTACATAATTTAAGCATAAACTCCCCTCCCCTTCCTTCCCCTGTGGCCCTTACTTGAAATGTACTTTTATTTATATATATATTTAGAAGAAACACGTTAAGCTTTGGGTGTGATTATATTTTGAAGAACAATTTAATTTGGAATTGTTTTATTCCAGTGTTGTATGGTGATTGGAGTGATCATATGTTGGGTGGCGGAGGCACAGGGATGATCCTAATGTCTTATTTCTCAAGTACCAAGACTTGATTAAGGTTAGATTGTGTTTTAGTGTGTTTTATAAAATTCCATTTTCACACTTATTCATTCAACAACCAAATCAAAGTAGGTTGATATCAGATAGTGCATTATTATATTTTTAATTACCATCACAACAGGTTGGGGTCTGTCAGTCTTTAGCGAGAGGTGTATCCTTACGAGGTGGTTTCTTTAGCAACAATTATAAGCATGCCAAGGTTTTTTTTCTTTCTTATCCCTTTTGAATCCCAGCAGTGACTAGCATCCTATTTCTCCTTACAGTGTTACAGCTGAAGCAAACGTCAAGGTTATGAGAATGAAGAAAATGATCACCAACTACAGTAGCTTTGGTTATCAAATAAATCCTCCTTGCCAATACCATAACAAATGTAAAGAGAGCAGTATGGA